TTTTTTTTTTTTTTTTTTTTTTTTTTTTTTTTTTTTTTTTTTTTTTTGCTTTTGCCCCCCCGATAATTCTCCCCACACATAGTACATAACTTTTTTTTTTTTTTTTTCACCCTCTCCCTTCAAGGTCTCTGATTCCGATAACCCCCTCTACCACCTTCGCCCTGCCTTTTTCCCTCCCCTCCCCCGAAGCTCCATTTCTCTCTTCTTCCCCTCCATTCCTCATTCTTCCTCTTCCGTATTTCCTTTATATGCTCCTATCCCCAGACCGTTTCTCCAGATTTCTCTTTCTTTTCCCCCTCTCCCTTTCGACAGTTTGTTCCTTGACTACATCCATCTCGGGTTACCTACTGACAGTACCAATTCCGGATATACTCTATCCCACACCCATCGCCACATTCCATACCATCGCCCGTTTACTGGGAAAGTCACTCTTCCTTGAAGAAATTCGTTACATTGCGTACCATCGCACCTTCTTTGATCGCAAGGCTTGTGATACTCCTTGCGGCGCTCAGTTATCAACTAGTTCTTTGCCAAGAGCAAGTCTCCGTCTTGTCGGGTGGTGATCGACTTTCCCCCGATTTACCTACCCCTGTTGCGACGAATCCTAATTCGCCTCGGCTCTTCAGCCCTCCCGAGCTGCCTTAAATACAGGGCTTCGTCCCCTCTTTAGCTACACTCTTCGGCTAGCTTAGGACGAGTCACATGCCACCACCGGCTTCTTCAGTGGATTTCACCAATCTGCTGAACCCTCAGAATAACGAGACTGGTTCTGCACCTTCCACGCCAGTGGATAGCTCAAAGGGTCCCTCTACCCCGTCTAGTACGCAGTCCAACTCTACCATGGCTTCGTCTGTTAGCCTACTACCGCCCCTCATGAAGGGTGCCCGTCCCGCAACGGAAGAAGCACGCCAGGATCTTCCCCGACCATACAAGTGCCCCCTCTGTGATCGCGCCTTCCATCGTTTGGAGCACCAGACCAGACATATTCGCACACATACGGGTGAAAAGCCACACGCTTGCCAGTTCCCTGGCTGCACAAAACGCTTTAGTCGCTCGGACGAGTTGACCCGCCACTCCAGAATTCACAACAACCCCAACTCTAGACGGAGTAACAAGGCACAGCATCTGGCTGCGGCCGCTGCCGCTGCCGCCGTCGGACAGGAGAATGCAATGGTAAACGTGACCAACGCGGGCTCGATGATGCCCCCGCCAAACAAGCCTATGACCCGCTCTGCGCCGGTCTCTCAAGTTGGCTCTCCAGATGTCTCTCCTCCTCACTCCTTTTCGAACTACGCCGGTCACATGCGTTCCAATCTGGGGCCATATGCTCGCAACACCGAGCGGGCGTCCTCGGGAATGGATATCAATCTACTTGCCACCGCTGCATCTCAGGTTGAGCGTGATGAACATCTTGGATTCCACCCTGGTCCACGCAACCACCATTTGTTCGCCTCGCGTCACCACACCGGTCGAGGCTTGCCTTCCCTTTCGGCGTATGCCATCTCGCACAGCATGAGCCGTTCTCACTCTCACGAGGATGAGGATGGTTACACTCATCGCGTCAAGCGCTCGAGGCCCAACTCGCCCAACTCGACTGCTCCGTCCTCACCGACTTTCTCTCATGACTCTCTTTCGCCAACGCCAGACCACACCCCGTTGGCAACCCCTGCCCATTCGCCACGCCTGAGGCCATTGGGAACCAGTGAACTCCACCTTCCTTCGATTCGCCATCTGTCCCTCCATCACACCCCGGCCCTTGCTCCAATGGAGCCCCAACCGGAAGGCCCCAACTATTACAGTCCCAGCCAGTCCCATGTTGGCCCCACCATCAGTGATATTATGTCCAGACCCGACGGGACACAGCGTAAACTGCCCGTTCCACAGGTTCCCAAGGTCGCCGTGCAAGATATGCTGAACCCCAGCGGTGGATTTTCGTCTGTTTCCTCATCGACGAATAATTCCGTCGCAGGAGGCGATTTGGCAGAACGTTTCTAGCCTGATGCCGCTGCGAAACCCATTCAATGTATAAAATTTTGGGCTCCAAAAAATTCTTGACTGTCATACGCGCTACGAAACGAATAGACTTTGTGCATTTACAGTGTGGTTCATGGGCATCCTTGGTGTCGGCTGATTGGCTTTCTTTGCTTACTTTGTTCGAGTACTTTTTTTGCGAGGCGTCCATACTGATAGACGGGTGGGATATTCTTGTGGCTTTTTTCCGTACTTGTTCGATTCTCCCCTTTCGCTATCCTTGAAAAATACCTTTCTTATCCTATAACCATCATTTGTTTCATTACCCCAATGGGAATTGGCTCTACAGCTACTATTCATTTTGTCTACTCCTCTCCGAGGCCGGGTCCTCTGATAATACCTGGCACTACCATATACATTTCATTTCAACTATGTCACTTTTCGCTTTGATTTAGACCTCGAGCAGGATGAGAGGGCTCCCAAAGAGAGAAGGAGAAAAAAAAAACCAAAAAATATATAAACAAAAGTTTCAATAATCTCGGTGTTTTACTCTGGCATAATACAGTAGTCACTACTTTGTGCATGTACAGTACATAGGAACAATTTAGATGGGCGTCTCATCACTTGCCCTAACCTCCTGCCATCTGCCACCAACGTGCTGCGTGAGCTGTAAAGCCATTGTCATATTTATCCGAAACCCAATTCCACGAGATAGGTGGATTGACGAATAACAATTGGTGGTCCAGCGACGTGCATGATACATACGTACATACATGTATACTAGTTAGTAGCGTCAGACCAGTTCATCGCATCCTAGACCGGAAACGGGGGAATGCGTAAGACTAGAAGGGCTTCAGAAAAAGCAAAGGGAAAAGAAAATGGAAAAAGAAAAGGGAAGGCCAAAGTTAATGCTGGCTGGTGCTCTCTTCGTCTGTGATCGATGTTATTGTTGCCCGTACACTGCTCACTCAGCTGTGGACGTGGCTCCAGTCAAGTTGTGAATTATGATCAGGATATGATTGACTTGACCAGTTGATCCCGATGGATCACGATTTGATTCTTTGGATGTTTCCCCTTGCCATTGCCCAAATACTAACACTTTGAAGCTCTCGGATCGAATGAACAACAATATCTGCCGGTTGACGCGTGATGCTGGAGAGACAAACCAACCCAAACGCCAAGGTAGTACGGAGGAGAAGTTGGCTGGAAGCAGCTGATACCCTAAGGTCGAAGAAGGTAAAGGAGAAATCATTTCAATAAGATGGCATCTTCCTTCCCCCACCAATTCCTTTCAAGCTGTGTTGCCCCGCTTTGGTGCATGGGCTTGTTGGGTAGTGCGGTCGCAAAACTACTAATTTAATGACCGATGCTGCTGTTACTGCTGCTTTTCCACTCGCCGCTCACGGACTAAGCATGTGGGAACAGGATCGCCCCGTCATTTTTTCAGATCGTGTCGTATCAAGGTGTTCGCCCGGTGCTGCTGGCACGAACGCCGGCCATCCAAAATCATTGTTCTCCTTCGAACCAGGCGGCGTACGTCTGGCCGCGGACGTAAGCACGAAGAGTGTGTGTAGTGGTGGGAGTGAAGCCGTGGCCGAAACCATGCCGTCCTCCACGGCCGTCCCGTCTCTATCGAGCGACGCCGCATCCGCTTCATCGTCGTCGCCGGGCGTATCTCTGGAAACAAGATGGGCGGAAGGTCTCGCCGGCCAGGAGATATTAGAAGATGATGGAACAGGCGCGCTCGTCGTCCCGCCGTCCCGCCCGGCTCGTCAATATCATCATCACACCTATATCTGTCTGTTCTATATCTTAGATTGTCACCACACCTTCGACGACGTCGAGCAATGGAAGACGCACGTACTGAGCCACTTCCGAACCCACGAGCCCCCACGAACAGCCCGATGCCCTCTATGTCCGGGCGAGCGGTTCAGCGACACGTCCGAGCAGAAAGGATGGGATCGCATGCTCGACCATGTCGATGTAGCACATTATCAACGAGGCCAGACCCTAGCCGGAAGCCGACCGGACTTTGAATTGATGCAGTATCTCTACCGCTTGCGCATTATCAGCGTGGACCAGTTCAAGGTGATGCAGCTGCCGCCGCCACCGTCAAGCCCTGCTTATCATCGATCGCAAGAGCCCGTCCGGGCAAACATAGGCTCGTCAGATGAGCCATACTGTGCTCCGTATAGCCGACGGCGAGAACAAAGGATGCGAGGACAGCGTCGAGGAGTCAGCGTCGGATAATGTCGTGTACTGTCTTCCCAGTCCACAGACTGCTTGGCGTGACTTCATGCAACGACGGCCTGTTGCACTGGGAACCAGTGGGACCGTACTCCCTTCTTCCCTGAGTAAACTGACTCGGGATGTCCTACCTGGTCTCTTTCTCTTCTCTTTTGTTTCTTCCAGACCTTTCAGTGTTCCTGTAACAACTCTTGATACTGATGGCCACAGGACATGTTAACGAACAGACATAATGTCTCACGACAGATTGTGTATTATCTCTTCTTCTGCAGGGTGTCATGAATAATGTTTGTTATCTAGCGAAAAGTCAAAAGCGAATCAGAGCGATTTATTTTCCTTCATTGCTTCATGGGAGCAATCCGAGATGCAGTAAAATGCTTCGCGATGCAAGGACACTTGCATCTGCGAAGAACTCAAGTAAGGTATCTTCGGAAATCTTATAGCCTACATGGTACCTACTCTTGTCACTCCTTGCCTCTTCTCTTCAAGGGGTAAGAGAATATTCGGTGAGTCTATTTTCGATACATCGCATTTCCCCGCATGACTCGTAAACTGCGCCATGGTAGATGCTGCAGGGACAAAAGTACCACCACCCACCAAAGTATGGACCTTCCTTTGCATATAATGAATGAGAGTATGCAGTATGCTCGGATACAACTCTAGTGGATGATGGGATATACTGCGGGCGAGCTCTGTGCTATGCTTCGTGTATTGTGGGCGACTGAACTGTCTATTCCTGTAACATCATCGTTCTCATCGTGAGGCTGTTCTTTCGTATTCAGACTACACTGGTTCAGAAGTAGAGAATCAAAGAGAAAAAGATAAAGAGAATAAAATGAAAATGAAAAAAAGAAAAGAAGAGATAGGGAGGGATCAATTATGACCTAGGTTTGACCACTACAGCATTACGGCTGCAAAACCCTTCTAAATATCGAAGTATAACAGACAACCTATGATCTAACTGCTGCGGTTCATGCTTGGATATTCTGCAAGGACGAACTGTAACCTCATTACTTGATATTAAATACAGATAAAAAGACGTCTGCGAGTGACTATATTAGGTGCGACTTACACTCAGAAAACCCCTAATCCAAGTGAGTGGGAAGGGGATCAAATCTCTTGTAGCGGAATCTATTACTATGCCATAAGTAATTCTAGAAAGGGAAGAAAGTTTTGGCAAATTAGCCAGATATTCTGTCTCCTAAAGTATCTTATTTAAGATCTCAAGATCCTGGGCAACAAGGGTGCCAGATAATTTGAGGAGCCGGTTGGCAAGACGGTTTAGAACTAGGGAACCCTGAACCCATGCCTAGGGATACCATACTGCAGGCATGAAACCTGCTCTAGAAATCGTCTTGTATGGATCATGTTAAGAGCAACGTTCACGTATATTGCCATTAGATCTAGACTAGGGCTACGGAGTAAACACGGACCCATTGTGTCATGAACCGGCGGCGACTGCCAAACAGAACAAACATGCGGTCCAAGCAGTATCCATATTCAATCATTCATTCCCACCACATCGAACTAACTCAGCACGGGGTTGCTTACAGCACAACCCACACTCTTATTTCTTCTGATAATTACTATCGCAGTATGCGATTCTCACCGTTTTTCTATTGTATTTGAGAGTATATTACCAGAACCAAGCTTCCGAGCCCCGTCCCATCGCAATTGGCAGCGGAATTGTCACCTCCCCCACCCTTCCATCATCTTTCCCCATACAGCTCGTGCCATAGACGACATGGAACGACTCTCGATTAATGACCACTCTGGCGGTACCCAGCAAGGAAATGCTCCGCCAGGGTTTCCACCGCAGAATAATCTACTGGGCCCGATGTCGCAAGGTCCGCCGCAGTTACCGCCGCAGATGTTCACGACCGCTGCCCAATTGCTGGATTTGACGGATAGTATGTTTGCGTTGCTTTAGTCGTTTCACCCTCGATAGTATGGCAGCTATATTTCGTTGGGGACACGGATTAACCATGATCAGAGAAACTCGTCCTAGTGCTACGAGACGGAAGAAAATTGATTGGAGTCTTGAGAAGTTGGGATCAATTCGGTATGGGTTAATTAAGTCGGCTTCAAATGCGATCGGTGATCTAACGCGCTCCAACTCTCGATGTCTGCAGCCAACCTTGTCCTCCAGGATACTATTGAGCGGTTGTATGCTGGCAATCTCTATGCTGAGATCTCGCGGGGTATTTTCTTGGTCCGAGGAGAGAATGTGTTGCTTCTTGGTGAAATTGTATGCTGTCCCGGAGATCTCGATCTTCTTCCTTCTATAGTCCCACCTTGGCTTCTTCATTCGAAACCTTGCTTACGTGGTTTGCGTTGGAATAGGACCTGGATAAGGAAGACGATATTCCGCCACATGTGCAAAAGGCCCCATTCGAGGAGGTCTATAAACTGAAAAAGAAGGAAGATAGTGAGCGAAAGACCGGGGACAAGAAACGTCAGGGCAAGCTACAGGGTCTCGGCTTCGAGGCCGAACATAGCGGGGAGATCCTGTTCTAGGCTAGAGCAAGGGCTTTCTGTCGGTTGATATCTGTCTACGGTGCCTTTTGCTAGGACCAAGATAGAACGAGACACTGTTTGCTCATAAAGGGGAATAGGGCAAGGTCTCGAAGTGGATTGATTTGATATGTCGAGGCTAAGAACCACAGGGCCTTGCAACCTCGTCGTGGAAGCCAGGCTATTATTCTTCTGGACTCATCGTCACATGGCGATACGATGAAGAATGCGGTGGATGTAGCGGCTTTCTTGACTTTCCTAAGCTTAGGAAGTGACCTGTTATTGAGTTGACTGAGTCACTGGAACTATTGGACTAAATATGGCTGGTATGATGGGTGGTTGAGAACGATATACAGGCTCAAGCCTGGTCAAATGATTGGATGATAGCGGCCATGTTTGACGACTCTCATGTCTCATTACGCTTTTCTTTTCTTTTCTTTTTTTTCTTTTCAGTGTTTTATTCAAATATATGAACAAGAACTCTTCGGCGAAGGAGGCATGATGCAGTTTGCCTTGTCGCCGGGACTCTCAGGATACCATGAAATTCGAGTCTTGTGACATCCCTAGAGAAGTTTTCTGAATGGAACGAGTGTAATGTGGTTCACTTCATAAGATGAAATTATGGACATGGGTTTGGGAGCTGATAGTTATCGATAGCTATCGATAGGGCCCGCCAAGAATTTATCTCCGTACCTTTTTTCCCAATTTTTTTACTTCACCCAAAAAAACCATTCACCACTCCAAAAAAAAAAAAATCTCCGCTTTCACCGCACATCTTTCCCACTTCCTCACCTCACGAGTCGCAACTTTTGAAGCGACATCTCTACTTCCTGTCGGTTGATCCGCCCACCATGGCGACCCTGGCGGAGAAGCTCGAGAAGATCAAGTCTCCCAAATTGCAGAATCAGCACCATGTAAGTCCCGCGCCGTCGTGCCGCAAAACCATTGCTAACTTTGTATGAGACATCTGTGGTACTTTCTGCCGTGGAAGACACGCTCCGGGATCAGAACGCAGACTTTTCACCTACAGCTTACTTTGCAGCGCTACTTGCTTTGCTGTCTCAGTCGATCTCTGCCGAACAGGGCATTGTCAACAAGGATCTGGCAACCTCAGTGGTCTACCTCCTCGACATTACCACCGCCTACGCCCCCGCTCCAATTCTCCGTTCCAAGTTCTCCCAAATCCTTACCAGCCTTGCCCCCGCGCTCTCTTTGCCCGAATCCGAAGCTCCGTTGCTTAGACCGTCGATCGGCTGCCTCGAGTCGCTACTCATCGCTCAGGATGCCGCAGCATGGAATCTCCCCCACACCCAGATCAGCCCGCGCCGGGCCACTGCGGGCTTGCTGAGCCTGTCCGTGGATCACCGCCCTAAGGTACGCAAGAGGGCCCAGGACGCTTTGATCAAGGTCCTGAAGACTCCTCCTCCCAGTCCGTCGCTTGATCACCCGGCGGCAGATATGTGTGCGGAGTCCGCGCTCCGCACATTGGGTGACAGTATCGCCGCAGCAGCCAAACAGAAGCGAGGCCGCAACGATCCTCACACACATAACCATGATCCGCTGGTCATCCACTCCCTTCAACTGGTGAAGACGGTCGCGACCGCCTCCGGAGGCTGGCCGAGCAAGAAGATCGAGCCGCTATGCGAGTTGTTGATGAATGCTTCCCGGTCGAGCAACGAGTTTATCACAATGGGCGCGTTCGAGGTGTTCGAGGTTATTTTCTCCAGCATGGCCGATGAGTTCTCGTCGTCAAAGCTGCCCCGTCTTCTTGAGGCGATTTCGGAATTGAAGCCCGCACAGAACGATTCGCAGTTGCTCCCTCCATGGATTGCCGTTCTGTCCCGCGGTTACGATGTGTCTTCTCAGATCAGCCCCGAAGATACCTTCGAGAAGCTGCCCTCCTTGTTCGACATGATCTCCAGTTATTTGGCGTCGCCATCGAAGAACATTAGGATTTCGGCATCGGAATGTCTGGTTTCATTCATGGCCAACTGTATTCCCAACAGTGTGATCATTGAACCATCGGTCTACGATGAGAAAACGCTCGAGAAGTTGGCCAAGAAAGCGACAAACCTGCTTTCCGTGAAGTACCAGGCGGCCTGGGCGGAAGTGTTCAATGTGTGCTCGGCAATGTTCGATAGTTTCAAGTGGCGGTCCAGTCCGTTTTTGAATGACATTGTGAAGACTGTGGGAGAGCTCCGTAGTAATGAATCCTTCCATGGCAAGAAGCAGGCCGATCAGGTTCTCGGCAGTGCCGTTGAAGCCATGGGCCCCGCGGCGGTCCTTGAGATCCTGCCTCTTAATATTATTGAGCAGAAGGCTGGTCAACCGGGTCGTGTTTGGTTCCTCCCTGTGCTTCGAGACCATGTTACCAACACAAACCTCGCTCATTTCCGCTCCGAGCTCGTTCCTCTGAGTGAAGCTCTGTATCAGAAGGTTATGGCCTTCAGCGACGCAGAGAAGCCTGTGGAGACAAAGATCTTCGAAACACTTGTCCAGCAGACTTGGTCTATTCTTCCTGGCTACTGCGAGCTGCCTTTGGATTTAGTTGAGGCTTTCGATCAGAGCTTCGCCGAACTTCTTTCCAACGTGCTCTACAAGCAAACCGATTTACGTGTGGACATTTGCAAGGCTTTGCAGAACCTGGTTGAGTCAAACCAGGCCATTCTGTCTCTCGAGACGGAGGGCGATGACTTGGTTCTCCAGCGAAGAATTACCAAGAAGGATGCGGAGAAGAACGTCGCCCATCTTGCCGGGTTTGCCAGCAACTTGCTAGCTGTGCTTTTCAACGTGTACAGCCAGACACTTCCACATTACAGAGGCTACATTCTGCAATGTATTAATGCTTACTTGAGTATCACTCCCGAGAAGGTTAGTCGAATTCGCTTATCCCTCGACTCTTGAGTTGCATACTAATTGATATGTTACAGGAGCTCAATGATACATTTACACGTGTTACTTCTATGCTGGAGTCGTCGATGGCTTCAGAGAAGGAGGCTGCAGAAAAGCAGGGCCATCAACAAGGTGGTGCTGGTGACAAGATGCCTCCAACTTCTCACACTTTGATCGACTTGGTTATCGCCATGTCGATTTATCTGCCTCGCTCCAGCTTTGCAAGCCTGTTCGCCATGGCTGCGGCTGTCCTGAATGGACATACCAGTGATCAGCAGCTGATTAAGAAAGCATACAAGCTGATTCCCCGTTTGGCCACCACTGAGACGGGCGCTGCTGCTCTCCGCGAGCGGAGTGCCGAACTCCAAGCCCTCATCATTTCGACGGCGGATAAGACACCAGCCTCTGCTCGCCGTGACCGTATGCTTGCCGTCGATGAGCTCATCACGTACCTCCCAACCTCTGACCTGCATTTCATCCCCTCTATCCTTTCTGAGGTTGTCTTGGGCTGCAAGGAGAGCAACGAGAAGGCCAGGACTGCTTCCTTCGATCTGCTCATCCACCTTGCGAAGAGAACTACCGACTCCGAACTCAACCCAGCTGGAACCAAGATTCGCAACTCGCTAGTACCCCACATGCCCGACAATGCTCCCGATGCTCCCGCAACCATGGAGGAATTCTTCACTATGGTGTCTGCAGGTCTGGCGGGTAGCTCACCACACATGGTTGCTGCCTCCGTGACAGCCTTGTCTCGCCTGTTCTTCGACTTCCACACCGAACTTCAACCAGCTGTGCGCTCCGACCTGGTGCAGACCGTAGAGCTGTTCCTTACCAGCAACAACCGCGAGATTGTCCGGTCTGTGCTCGGCTTCGTCAAGGTTGCCGTTGTCGTGCTTCCCGATGACGTGCTCCGCACACGCATCAACACTCTGGTACCAAACCTCATGGTATGGAGCAAGGAGCACAAGGGCCGTCTCCGCAGCAAGGTCAAGGGTATCCTGGATCGTCTGATCCGCCGCTTCGGCGCAGCCCCGATTGAAGAGCTGGTTGGTGAGGCCGACCGGAAGTTAGTGGTGAACATCCGGAAGCAGCGCGAGCGTAGCAAGAAGAAGAAACAGGCTGAGAAGGGTGATGAAGACGAGGAGGATGAAGAGGCCGCCGACAACAAGAACGCCAAGGCCCAGTCTTACGGCGGCAACGCCTTCGACAGAGCCGTCTACGACTCCGACTTCTCCGACTCCGACGACGACGCTAGCGAACTTGACGTCGACGAACACGGCGACACCCACGCCATCAACAAGGGTGGCCGCAAGGGCAAGAAGCCCAACCGGCAGAGCGAGCAATACATCCGCGAGAACGAGGACACCCCGCTGGATCTTCTCGCCCCTGACGCCCTGGCCAGTATCTCGACCACCAAGCCTAGCGTCCGCTTCCTCAACACCGGCCCCGGATCCCGCCGCAAGCACTCCGCCAAGGTCGACGCAGACGGCCGTCTCCTCCTGGGTGATGATGACAACAACGACGTCGAGATGTCCGGCGGCCTTGACGGCAACGCTGAAGCAGGCGACAGCGCAATCAACGCCTACGTCGCGGCCGTCAGCGGACCCGACGCTGTCCGTCGTGGCCAGCGCGGCAAGTTCAAGATGGCCCAGGCCCAGAAGGGCAAATCCAACCGCGGCGACGACATGGACGTGGACGAGGGCGACGAACCGGCCCCATCAAGAGGCGACAACAGACAGCAGCAAACCGGCCGTCGTGGTTTGGGCATGCCCAAGAGCCACGGACCCAGCGGCGGAGGACGGATCCAAAAGCGCAAGCCCATGCGCGGCGGCCGCTTCGGAAAGAGGAGATAAAAAGAATAAAACAAAAAAAAAAAAAAAAAAAAAAAAAAAAAAAAAAAAAAAAAAAAAAAAAAAAAAAAAAAAAAAAAAAAAAAAAAAAAAAAAAAACACCACCAACCCTTCTTCCATCTCACATATTCAATCAATTCAAAAACCTCCCCACATCCGTTCTTCTTTCCCAACAAAAGAAATATCTACCCTGTATGAATTGATGTTGATGAAACAGGAAACTGATGAAGTCCCTACGTTACAGTTTTTCTGTCTTTGAAAGCATGGCTGGACAAAAATTGAATCCCTTTTTTTCTTCTTGTTCGTTCGTGGTACAGTTCGCGCAAAAATCTCCGGTTGCATTGGATGTTTCGCTGTAGTTGAAAACTTATTGCGTTTTTTTTTTGGTCCCTTTCCCTCCGGCTTTGCTTTCTCCCCGTGTGATTACGTACATAGGTATCTTTATACCCTGAAGTTGCTGAAATATTATTGGTTCTTGGGAATGCATTGTTCGTATCTTGTAGGGTGGTCTCATTGATGCACTGGTGGGGAATTCATTGGGTGGAGGATTATGAACTGAACTATGCGAGGGAAAACTCCTGGGTAGACATGTCAGATCGGCTGCGTACCCGACGACCACACTACGAACTCTATTCCATCGGTCCAGCCCAGTCAACTTTTGTCTAATTGGAGATCTCATTCGGCACGGGAAGCCAAGACTTTAGATTACGGGTCGCCGTGGATTGTGTAAAGTTTAGATATTTCAGAGTAATAGATGGACGGATCACATAAAGCAGCAGATCAAAGGGGATGAGACCAGCCCGGGTATCAATTCGTGTGAGGTAGTAGTACAGTACACAAGACTTCCTGATTCGTGATTCGATGATAATCCCTGTTGGCCTGCATATTAGCTGAGGCACCGTGAGCACTTCCCTCAGGAGCCATTTTCCGTTCTTTCACAGCGCACATTGGATATTGGAAAGGAGAAAACAAAAAAGTAACCAAAAAATAAAAACCGCTCCTGGCGCCTATGCGACCAACCCAACTCCTGTACACATGAAGTATCTCATCAAATCAATGAGAAGGCGAAACAAAAAGATATATAAAGAAACATGCCCCTCAAAAATCATTCCACATATCCCACATATTGGTATCATGTCAACATCGAAAAGAGTCCAATAGCCAAGACGGGATCACGCTTAATAACAAAGAACGGAATCAAAGTGGGAAACGGCAACAAGGATAATTTACAGACAGGCTATTCGCGAGGCGGTTTTCGGGCCTTGCGTAGCCATATCTGCCACCATCGACAAACACCGAGTACGGCAGCACGGCCGTCGTCTTTGCGTTCGGTGCCATCGGGGTTGCCAAGTACCATGGCGAAAACCCAGAAAAAGGCTGCGGTCCAGACAAGGAGAAGAAATGCGATGGAAAGTAGTGATGATAGCAAGAGGACCGCAATCAACCCAAAAATGGAATAGTGTTCGCTCGGATCTGAGACCGATGACCCATCGGCGTCATTGTATACCGATCGAGTGGCGGGACCCCGCAAACGAACTAATCGCTCATGAATATGCAATTGAGGTACCAGAAGATGGCACAACTGCTCGCGAAGTGATGTTGATCGAAGGTATGGGATGCAGGGACAAATGCGGAAAGGCGAGACGAGAAGAACGAAGAGTAACCCGAAGACGGTATATAAGGATGCGCAAAGAGAAAAGATGGGGACCGGGATGGATAATCGAAACTATAATTGCCAAGTGGTTAGCCAGGAACCAGAAAGAAAAACAAAAAAAACGAAGAGAACATGAAAGGCTAATCCTTACCAGCATCAGCAGGGCATCCTGACTATCGTCCGCCAAGGGTTCTTCCGTATGAATCGCTCGTTTCTGAAGGCGGGTTACTCCGAGATGATGATTGTCGCTCGACATATACGACGAATGATCCGTCCAACTCCTCCGGCCACGCTCTTCTTTACGAGCCGCTCCACCACTATACGAAGTTTGTGTCAATATGGAACCGCTGTCCAGATAGGGCGAGGATACGAACGTCATCGGGGCCACGGCCGACACTTCAGGATCCGGATAGATGGACTCCACCGGAGGTTGACGGTGGGGAGGCTTATGGGCTTGTTGAGAATGTCGATGGGGATGCCGAGAGTAGGTATTATCCCATGAATCGGGGGGATAAGCGTTGGGTATGGTATTCTCGCCCGAATTGAGTTCCGGATGACGGAGATCATGCCGGGGATTAGGCAATGACGGGGGCTCCGGTGGAAGATGTGCGGCCGCAGGAGCCGGAGTCGAATCGTGGAGATATGCCGTCACGCGATGGTCCTGGTCCTGGTAATAGGCGGGAGAATGGGACATCTCCGGTGGCCTCATCTTGGAGCGGATGATATCAAGGGAGACGACAGAGTCGGTGGAGAAATCAAGGGCGTGATAGCGTTTCGTCGGCCCCCTTCAGAAATGCGACACAGAGTGGTACAGAATCGTACACAGGGCGACAAGGTTCTGCTCACCGCATGGCTCGCAGCGCAAGGGGCATATCCGCTGATAAAGGCAAGTGACGATCCCACAGCAAAGGTGGGGTGGGGGAAAGGGAGTGTGGTAAGAAGGGGGCAGAGAGGACGAGATATGGTGAAGAGGGCTGACCGGGAGGAGGGATGGAGGCGACGGACAGAGGAGCGGAAGAAGGGGAAACTTATAAGCATGCCATGGAGAAGCAATAGTAGGACAGAGCGGAAATCCAAGACAAGGACAAGAAAAATGGCAGAGCTCAAACGCAGCGGAAAGGCTCTCCTTCTTCTGCTTTTTCTTCGCTGCCAAGACGCCCAGATGCCGAGCCCTTGGCACCCTGGACGACGTCAACGGATGGTCACTGTGTTTTTTTGGTCTTTTCTGCTTTTCTTTTCACTTTTCGTCCTCCCCTCCACAGTGCTGGGGATATCAACAAATATGGAAGAAGACATGTGTATATATATATCACGGAGGTGGATTGAAATCCATGGCCGGAAAGAAAGGACGGAGGAAGGATCCTCGGGGCTGAGAGAAGACCCGCGCCATTTGGGCGATACAACGAAGGTTGAAGATGCTGTGTTCGTGTCCCGTCGAGTAAAGAATGAATGGGGGTCAATACCGTAAACCCAGGCAGTCATACGGGCCTCGGTCGTCACTCCAGTATTGGCACCTTTCCATTTACGGACCCTCCGCCAAGATGCCAAGAGCCCTGCGGGGATTTCAATGACACCTCAAGACGCCATGATTGGCTGTTTGGACACAGGAAAGTGTCTATGATCCGCGTTCGGAGGTGGATGAGCGGCTTGGCAGTAATACACCAGATCTTTAGTTTTCTTACGGTGTATGCCCCATTACAGACCCTAATACTTTGGTGGTTTTTTTTTTTTTATATTTATGTTTCGTTTGATTTGCGTCTTTCATTTGTTGTTTCATCTTCCCTTTCGAAATTAATTTCGCATTGTTGGTGATCTTGCACATATAAACATGGGTCTCGACTAAGATGTCCCCCTTGTGTGGTGGAACCCCTTTCATGATAAGCCAAGTCTCGTGACTGAATGAGAGTTACGAAGTCGATCGATGGCTGAAACCCTGAAGAACAACTTGCTCTTCCCACAACCACGCCGAGCCAATTGCCCAGAGTCGCCGAGGGATTGGCAATTGTCCCCCCTACCTCATCACTTTCTACCGTGGGCGTCGTGTGTAAGGTGGCGCAGTAAACGATCAATATATTAGGTAAACAGCAACTGCACGACTGCTTTTGTGTCTCGGGTTGTCAGACGTGGCCTGTCTGAGATCGTCCTCAACTACTGCCGTCGATCGACAAGCAGAAGATATTTAATAGGGAGTTTCGGTGTTAGTGTACCCCCCGATGGAGCTCTCCTACAAGCTCTTTCTCGGAGGGGACTGCTTGCCAGCTTGCCCCAGAAGATGTCGATCCCGGACAGTACGTATCCGACCAGCTTCGGATCTCCCACCGGCTCGAGCACAAATGACATATGGCGCTGCACGGCATAAAATTCTAATCGCTGGCACTCACAATGAAAATCCTGTCCCTTCATTGTGATCAGCATTCTCTGGGCAGCAGTTGCCGTTGGCTCGTTATATCTCGCAACAGTTCCAGGCGCCTTGGCCACACTGCCGAGAGAGCCCCAAGGATGAAGCGCAAACTCGTGCTCTTGGCCAGGAACATGTCATTTACCATAGCTGTGCCTCCCGTAGCTGGAGCGGAGTAACGTCTGGGGAAGCGGGTATGACCGCTCACGATTCCGAATGTTGTTACATATAGAGTGTACCACAAAGCATACGTACTCATAGCTTGGCAGTAGGGTCTCTGTAAAAGTGGCGTGCGATGAGGTTCGTTCATGCCAGGGTAAAACCGAAAACAAGAAATCATAACCTCCTCATCCGTAAGTATACTAAACTATATCAATATATCTCGGTGATAGTCGATGTGCACAGTTCAATATCTGCTGCAGTAACACGCCATCAAACCACGTTATATTAAAGTCAGGTCAAATACATAATTCCGTCAGGCTTGGCGCCGATGAAGTCTCAGTGAGATGAATGCCCAACCCACTAAGGATCATCATCAGTCTTGCGTAGCAGTTGGCCTGCATGTACTCCGTAGCGGTGTCGGAGAACCCGCGTTCGAGATGGCCATTTGATTTCCGACCCCTCTTATTGGGCCATACATGGCTATGAAATCTAGATATATATTTCCTTGAATAATTGTCCGTCGTATCGTGGGTCATGTGCGTTATAGAAAACCTCGCTGCAAGTCCAACTGTCCAACTTTAATTACTCCGTATATTCGAACAGCTTCGATACACATTAGCGACGCACTGAAATAGATTGTCAGAATTGTTTGACGGTGCCGGTTAGCCGAGTGGACACATGAAATCTCACGGCCTTACCGGGCTGGCCGTCAACGATCCCCACTCAGTGAAAACCAAGTGTTAAACCGCTGTCTCAGCCTTAATGCAATGACGGACACCCTGGTTCACTCCACAGGCTCGACCGTCTGTGCAAGTCAACAGCAGATGATGATCATATCTCCCACATCTCCTACATAAGAATCATATGTCCGATAACAAATGAGCGATATCCATCCAAATGATCATACCCAGTCATGCAGATCTCGGCCGATAATATGAGCACAGATTGCCTTCCAGATCTGCATATGGGGGCCACTCGCGGTTATCCCGTGTGTTTAATGGACCATCAGAACAAATGGCCCGAGGTTCTTCCGCCTACGGAGTACATTGACATGAAATGGTAGCAATATGTATCTACTACTACATTGAAGAAAGATTCCATCTAAAAATACCATCACTTACTTGCAGGTGTGCATATATATATATATGCACAAGACGCCATACATACAACAACAACAACACAGACAAAGAGAACGAGAGGTATCTACCCAGAAAATAAAAACATACCTCAAGTCCCGCCACACAAGCGCAATCGCCACCCCCCAGCTTCATATACCCACTGACGCAGAGTGAAGACCTGTAGAATGTTGTCATCCAACGATGGTTTACTATGTTTACCCACCTACATACCACGAATGCTCAGTCCACATGCAAGGAGGCAGTGGAGCCGATAACACATCAAACCCACATATGTATGCGGTCCCCTGCATCTGAGAATGAGTACGGACCCACCAACCGAAGCAGAAACGCAAACTCCGCTTCATAGCGATACTACCCCCATCATAGGGCTCTCGTTGAGACAGTATGTGATACGGCAGATGTCATGTTCCTTGTTTCTCTTCTTTCCTTCGGGGTGGGTTGGGGGAACTATTGGTTTAATTAACTTTATCGTGGCTTTATTGGGCTAGCTTGAGGCCGATCGCAGCGGGCATTTCTGATCCGTTCTGATCGAACTGGCTCATTGATCTTCATAGGGTTGGTATGTGTCTGATGCGTGAGTGGGTGGCCGAGTGATGGAACATTCCTGTGGGTCTGATATCACCCGTCATGACGGAAGGGGAGATGGAACGGGTCTCATATTGTCCTGATCGTGTTGATCTCGGTAGTTTCCCTTGCGATATGCCCGTATATATTGTGCCGAAGCACCACAATTCTGTTAAGGGGCATGTTAATGGGATCAATGGCGCGAGTGGTATGGTCGGTTTATTGACGCCATATAAGACGTGTACAAACGCAGAATCTCGGACATGGATTCACAGCGTTCTGTGGCTGGACATTCTGACGACGAATCTTGGCAGCAACTGAAGATTCGCCGAATGCATCGAGCGGAGCTTCTCTAGTCACGTCATCGGTATGAACCGCCGACAATGATAGATACCAAGTATCTGTCAGATTACAGATACTCCTGAGAAAAGCCTCCGGAGTACTTGTGACACCCTGGTATATAACCCAACGCTAGCATGCTGTACGAAAAGACTCCAAGCCTCATACAGATCAATTTCAATCCCCAAAACGAGCCAACAGTCTCCTCAAAACACCTGGTTCAGTACCCATACCCCAACGCTACATAGAGTAAGCTCAGTATAACTTGGAAGGGTTGAGTACTCCAGCAACACCCCTTACCCATTCAACGCAAACGCACGATCCGAAACTTGGATACCAAGTACCTCCCCCCAAGACCTTCGATTCCACTTTTTCAAAACGGCCGTAGGGCTGGAATGCTAGCAAGTGCAGATTCCTCGTATCTAACATTCCACGTCGCTCTGGTTCGTACGTTCCCGGACATTCCTGTCCCTTAAGCCCCGGCATCGCAAGAAACCTGGGCCCATTTACTTTATCCTCACGATTTCCGTTGTGGCCATGCTACCCGGCAACATTTGACATTTACTAGTGTGTGTATATTTGATCGACTCACCTACCTAACAAACACCTGAAAACATAAGTTCCTCGTAAAAGTAAAAACACAATTGGATGTGATCATCCGGGGACCGGAAGTAACCGATCGAGATCGCCCCGGGATTTCCTTCACCCCATTAATCGAATGCCACATTTACAAACCCCGAGTGAACTTCAATTGTGGAGTTCCCGAAACAAGTGCAGCAGAAGCAAGGATCGTCCCGACCGGTCTTTACCCGGAGGACTAAGGTGCAAGAAGGGGAAATGTAAGAAATAAGGGTACAGAAAAGGAAGGGGAAAGAAATGGGTCCTGCCCATGGCAACTGCCAAATAGTCCACAACAGACATCGATCCCGAAGATGAGATAAATACGTGCAGCGGTGGAGATTCCAGTGGCGTCTGTAATGTACATGTACAGTAGGGACCCTTGCCCAGCGCTGTGTTAGTCGCATCCCTGGAGTGCAGTTCGATGCAACACACACACACACACACACACACACAGCAGGGTAGATTGGAATCCTGATGGGTGAACTGCAGGCTTTGTTGTGTAACTAACATACAATTCTAGTCGATAAGCGGGAAGAGAAAGAAAAGAAGAGGAGGAGGCATGGAAGCAAAAGAAAGGAAAGTGACACCTGCGATTTCCATCATCCTTTTCTTTTGTTTTGTTATTTTTGCTTCAGACAGATTAGTTAGTTGTTAGTTAGTTAGTGATGGCATTAATAATAGCGCGCCCATTTCTTTTCTCGCCCGTGCGCTCGCATATATGCAGCATCAGCAATCAGATCCTTTCTGTCAACTGTGCCCGAGTGACACGAAGATGGGCGACTGGACCGTCGACCTTCCAATCCCAGTCCGCAGACATGCATTGCATTGCAGCAACAGGTGGTCCAGAACAGCAGGGATGGGCGTTGCATCCTTGCCGATGGAGTTATTCCCATGCTGCAGTTAGTAAAGCTTAAAAGTATCTGTCGGGGGACGGGGGCGTGTGCCGTTGATGCACCTCATAATTTGATTCGGAGTAGATTGGTTTTATGGAGGGAAGTGACTACGAGGTCCTTGGCATTCATTGATCGTCATTCTTGTATTCGGTCTGCGATTTTGGCTTCTGATGTGCTCGAGTCGACTTGGCTCCGTTTTCGACCCTTTTTTTAGGACCATCTGTTTCAGGTGCGCGGCTATGCTGGACTTGGCAGGGTATGTGCTCGGCATAGTGGATGTTACATTGCCCGGGACGGGCAAAGAAGAAGATCAGAAGATTTCTCTGAATATGGGGGATGGTGTATAAGTATCAATCTATAGATCGGTATGCTGGGAGGGTGCCATGTTGGCTTGATGGCTAATGTTACTAGCATCTGTAGGGCTTCTGTATATTTCAAGGACACCCGCCCTGCTCCGTTCGCAATCAAGACCTGTTGACATACTCACAAGTGAAGATATGAGACTAGCGCGATCCTTTGCTATAGGTGAAAATAGAGAATAAACAACCGTTGGGCTTAATGGCGCTATGATGGTTTTAAAGAGAGACCACTAGTCCTGATTAAAATAGAGATCGACACATCCCAGGCCATGGCGGATTGCTGTCATGAGAATTGCAGGATTGGAAATACCGTGCTGAATACGGGGGAGCCAGTATAGGAATAGTATGAGTATGGTATTGCTTTCCGACTCTCCTCGTACCGAACCTGGGCTGTCCGTTATTGTTTGGAGCCGGCTGTCACCTGAAGAGTCATCACGTGACTTCAGTACACGCAGTCCAAGAATGAAGGCATTCCCCACGAGCAGAATGTTCTGGGAATGGGAACCTTCCACCCGGTTACGTGTTCTTATTCTTATCTCTATACTACGTACATCACACAGAGCACTAGGTAGCTTGAATACTAGTGGAGTCGATCATTCGATCATAGTCAAAGTCTTAATCCCTGGAGATGAGATGGGTGCTGCTCATCGTTGTACGGGGTGCCAGGGCTGAAACTCGGCCCCGAAAAAAAAACGGAGCGCCGAGCTATTCAGTATAGGGGAGCGTGAACTACGGAGTAGACTCACGCTAGGAGACCACTTTCCCCCTAACAAGGGAAAGGGTTAACGATGTCGGGTGGCCCGCCTAAAGTTAATTAGGATTCCCGGCGTTAGAAACTTCAAAGTTAGAGACCCTCTGGTGGGAACAAAGCACTACCTAAGCGAAGGAATGGGAGATAGTGTGGGTTGTGTGTGGATGTGCTAGTGGGGAGTCTGGCATCTTTCGAACGGCCCATTATTCATTGTTGTGGAAGGGAGTTAATCACAGAAAATGGAAAAAGAAAAATAGTAAACAAAAAAAAAAAAGAAAAGAAAAGAAAAGATCGGCCCACTCAGGTGATGTATCAACTTATCAAGATCAACTGAAAAGCCGACGGATCAGCATCGGAAAGGCCCCACTTGATGGAATCTGTGGCTGCCGCCAGAGTGGCTGGTGGCATTTCCTGTGCGTTGGCCTGTCAGGTGACTAAGTTCTTAAGTAAGCACAGTCTCAGCGATCCATGACGGAAGAGGCAAAGTACGAAGCGAGTGAGAAAAGGGTAAAGGGGGAAAGAAATTTAAAAAAAGAAAAAAGCTTTGGGTAGTATCAACTCCCATAGCCGCCTGCGTCGTCTTTTCGAAGGAATCGCTACGTCTTGGTGTAGATCTGGAGCCAAACATAGAGCACAACTCCTACTATCCCCATATTATGGACCTAGCGACTTCGTATAACTTCCCAGCGCCCTAGAGAAAAAAGGGGAAGGGGGGCTTAGATGACAAACAAACATATGCAGCAGTCCCCTGTAAGTGAGCACTGACCGTTCACCCCAACCGCACCATCACCGGGGGTATGCAAGCCAGGTTGACGTACTCTTGTATGCCAGTGTCAGATGGTGGAGGGGGGGAAAAAGAGACGTTGAAGGAGGGTGGAGGAAGAGAGGGGTTGGCCCGGATATTGGTATTGAGATCCGTCAGTTGTGACTCGCTCCTGAGTTTGGGAGCATGGGGATTGGAGAATGGGCCGCAGAGGGTCCTACTCCATATGTGCGTATGGTCCGGCACAGTCTAAGATGCAGACGGTTAGTACGGAGGAGGGACGCCAGTTTCTGGGATTATTGGGGGCCACTGCAACATTTGCAGGTGGCCCAAGTGGAGACTGCCTCATGCCTAACTAGGCTGCCGGGAGCTTAGGTAGTTGAGCTTATGGCCATACGCCAGTCATGTATGTCGGTTGAGGACCCACCAAGGCAGTCAGGATTTATTGGTGGCACTTTCGTAAACACTGCAATATTTCATTAAATAATAAATAATGGCACGGGGAAAAGAGGGTCGGTGGGTCCATGTTCCATGGTCCACCCGCAGCCTCTCGGCGAGTCACAACCGGGGGTTCGTGCTACTCGACTTACGTCCTGCAATCCCTGGAGTTGCTTTTCTGGCTCCGGCGCTTGCATCCTCGTCAGACACTGCCCTGTTTCGGGACGGTTCGACTCCATTGAAACTAAAAAAAAAATAAAAAATAAAAATAAAGAATTTTGCTGAATTTCTCTCTCTCTCTAAACTCGCTGAGATCATACTTACCTACTCCGTTTTCCTACAGTTAATATTTTAGTCTACGTCGTCTTCTAATTTTAATTAAATTTAATTTGTTACTCTTCCCTGTACTAAAGCCCATGCTCCTAGTAGTATTTATCACACTTTGTGCCCCGCTTGCCAACGTGAGCCTCCTCTTTCCATCCCTCTCATACGCCTTTGTTGGAAAAGCCACACAAAAATCTAGAATTTTAGAGTTGCCGAGTAAAAAAAAAAAAAAAAAAAAAAAAAAAAAAAAATTAAAAAAAAAAAAAAAAAAAAAAAAAAAAAAAAAATCGTTTATCCGCAAGTCTATAGAGTCGCTGAGATCATAATGAACGTACATACGAATAGACTGTCAATGGAAGGGCTTTGTAGAAAAGAAAGAGAGAAAATTAACGAAAGCCCCCATTCGTGTCAAATTAAATTTGTGCACTGACTCGACTGGGATCTATCAAGACCTTGGGTAAGACAAGTCAACGAGGGAGACGATCTTCCCTGTACCCTGTTGTACTTTGCTCCTGCATTCAAATGCGCACACCTGAGATTCCGGTGCCCGGAAAATATTAACTGTAAATACCCGCGGACACGACTCCAGATTGTCCCCACCCACTAGACCGTTCCTGGTCGTAAGCTGTCTGTCTTCGGCTTGGCGCCGGACGACCGCTATCTCACCTTTTTCCGTGCTTTCCTTTGCTTTCGCTGACTGCTCGAGAGCTGCACAACCACTAGCGCCGCTTGGCAAATTTCACCCTCTACCACCAGCCCCTCGACCTTTCTCTCCTCTTCCTCTTCTTCCTCCTCTCTCGCTTTCCTCTGCTTCTTTCCTTTTCTTTTCCTTTTTCTTCGCTTTTTCCTGTTGGTGACTTTCCCCTGCTTCCTATACATTTCGTTACCTCTATTTGCATCTCAATTCCTTTCCTCTCCCCTTCCGTTACCCACCCTCCCTTTCTCGGCTATTGGGTTGTGCCTTACTCATAGCGCCAACTCTTGCCGGCCGAGGCCCTCCCCCTTTTCATATTACCTTCGCATACTCTCACAAACTTTCTGTCTCACGGTGCTGGCCTTCCAGCGCTAAGTCGGAACGATTGCCTGTGCGCGGTCCTTAGCGCTTCCGTCTGCCGTACATCAGCTTCACTCCGGGAGCGCGTGAACGGAACTTGCTACCATTCTGGTCAAGGCGCCAAGGCTTTTTTTCAGTTGACAATCTCGGCCGAAGCACGATTGCCATCGGGAGTGGCCTCGAAAAGAATAGTCGCGCTTGCGGGAACCGTTGGGTCTTGGTACGCGCGAAGAGCTACCTGTGAGTGGCACGGATTCAGATTGCATCATTGTGTCGCAGGTTATATGGGATCCGAAGCTACAACATCTCGAAATTCGGTTGCGTTACGATTCCTCTAGTATTTCACCCTCACTATGGCTCACACCCAGCCATCGCCCACGGGCGGCGTCACACCTCACCATGGCCATATTGCTGCTCACCCGCAGGTTAATGGTCACATGCCTCTGCAGTCGCAAGGCCAGAAGGGTCCTCCCATGAGCACTGCTCAAAAGATTGCCGCGCTGAATGAACAGGTGTGGCTTCAAATTGGTATGTTGAGATATTGCGCAGGCTTTTTAATAGCCAGCTTAGCTTATCCCGCGACGTACACTGACCGCTTCTTTAGGTGGCCTAACGGAACTCATGGGGGACCTTGACGGCGCCATGAATGCGTATGAACAGGCTTTGCGGCATAATCAATGGTCTATTCCTGCAATGAACGCGATCTCCTGTATACTGCGGACCAAGGAACAGTTCCCAAAGGCGATTGAGTATTTGCAGAACATTCTGAAGCTGGACCCAACGAGCGGCGAAACATGGGGCAGTTTGGGTATGTGCTTACTAACGACATCCCTGCAACGAGCAGTTGACTGACTATTAGCCCAGGGCATTGCCATCTCATGATGGATAACTTGCAAGAGGCG